TTGGACCCTTGGACTGTTTTCCCTGTTTTTGATTGTTTGCCGCCTGCCCTGACCATTGCCCGTGTTTTGGATTACTCTTTTGCCTTTACCTCAGATTATACTGTTTGCTGGTGCTCGACCCTGCCTGTTTTGACCACGATTGTAATAAAGCCTTGCGTTTGGATCCCCAACTCCGTTGTCCTGAGTCTACACGTTACAGGAACATCGTCTTGCCCAAGTAAGGGTCACCAATCTTGCCTCTGAATTACATCTATATACACTGTAAAAAAAAAAATTGTAAAAAAAACGGAAATATTCCGGCAGCTGGGGTGCCAATAACATTTTGTAAAATAACAGGAAAAAACTAACTTGTAAAATTACAGTAATCTTCCATTATTAAAATAAAATTTTTTTGCTTTAATTTTACATGAGATATTGTGTATTTTTGTTTGGCTTTGAATGTTTAAAGAACAATATTTCTCTTGTAAAAACAATGAAGTTAGCTATAAATATGGTCAAACACTGCTATAACACAAATAATGAGCCTTAAAGTGCAAAACAGTGCTGTAATTAGTTGGGTTTTATTAAATCATTTTATTTAAAAAACTTGTATATTTAATCAATATATCCCAGGTTTACTGAGTTTTTACCTGTAATTTTCCAAAAAAAAACCTTGTATATTTAAAAGATCTTTGTTATAAAAAGTATGCCCAAGCCCCTGGTGGACTAGTGGTTAGGCCACAGCACTCTCATCGCTGCAGCTCAGGTTCAATTCCTGGCCAGGGAACCGACCCCAGCCACTGGGGTTGCATGCAACAGTGCGATCTCAGTGCCAGTCCCAAGCCTGGATAAAATTGGGGAGGGTTGTGTCAGGAAGGGCATCTGGCATAAAATCTGTGCCAAATCAAATACTTTAAAAAAAAAAAAAGTATGCCCACCTTTAAAATGTATGTATTTAACCTTACATGATAAATGATGAGATTAGCTTTTCAATAACAGCACACACTTGCTTCCTGTTCTCAACATTTATTTAATTTTGTTGCCCAGCAGACCAGAAGAGAAAACAGTTGCACCTCTTGCAACATTCTTGATTAGAAAACTGTTCAAGACTGTATGTAATATCCAACATTTGTTATAAAATAAAAATAATCTGCACCAAATGGCTTTTACGAAGCCATAAGTAATATAAAAAAATCAAATAATCAAGCTAAAAATTAAACAGTCTGCCTGGATACCCGAAACATACAACCAAGAGAACAGACAATGCTACTTGGTTGTGCAGCTTTTGGGCAGATACATTAAAAGAGTCATACAAACAAAACAGAAAATTTTTAAATATATATAACAATTAAACAAAAGGTACCAAAACCACAGTGAATATGGCCATCTGGTGCTGCAGAGTTCCAACAATTGGTTACTTGTGGCCAACTGTACCTGCAACTGTGATTCAAACCAGGTACATTGAAGGTAGACTGAAACAGTTGCCCATTATGAGGGAAAAAACAAAACAAAACCAAAAATCAAGCAATAAAATTAAAATGTCCACTTTATTCTGCAGACATCTCAAAAAAACTGACCACTTTTAAAGAATGTTTCTTTCTTACTCCCTCCATTCATAGTCTGCAATTTTTGTTATCAGTGAAAGAACCTTTGGATTGACTGCCAGCAGCTTTTTTGATGTGGTCTTCTCCACTTTTGAACCCTTTTCAGGATTTATCTTGAAAAGGCATCTGTCAAATGAAATACAAACAACTTCAGTGATGAAATATTTTCTCTTCTGTAACTCATTTCATATATTATAAGTAAAATTGGGAGAATAGAGAAAATTTGCACAGAGAATGTTTGTGGTGAGAGTTAGCATGTTCTCCCCGTACCAGAAATACCCTTTATGTCCAAAGAAGTTAGGTTAACTGGTGACTCTGTATTGGCCATACTACATTTAGGGAACAGAAGGTAAATTGATGCTTGTCTACTCAAAGGTTTCTGAGGTAGTTTTTCATATCATCATTATTTTATAAACAAAATCTTAGCAAGAGCTCTCACGTTGATGTTAGGTGTGACATTTGCATTTGGAGCCTGCTGCTACATCTTGACATGAGGTGGGGTATCCTCTCCTTCACTTGTGCCAGTAGCTTGTCTTTTCAAGAAAAGTAAAGTGGTTCCTCTCCTCAAGTTATCCACTCTGCTCATCATTTGTTTCGTGATTGAATCATACCCACTGCCTACAATTTCACCTTCAGTGACATCTCTGAATGCCACAGGATACGCCTTTACCATCTTTCTTGCAATCTCACTTATGTGTTTCTTCCCAGGTGTTGGGCATATTGTTAAGGTTTCACTAACAATCCGTCAAATTATTTGAAGTCTCTCACTTTTTGTTGGTCGCTTCCCTGTTTCCAGCTTTCTGACGATCGCAGATGGCATCTCCTTCCAAAGAATTTCACATCTGAAATGCCAGCTGTTGTCATACAGTTGAGAAGGTGTGAAATCCATACTGGAACTAGATGTTGATATTGGCGAGTTTGAACTTGGAGAGTTGTAGCCACCTGAAGGGTTGCAGAAGAAACAAACAACAACAAAAAAACAAATTAGGCTGCAAATTCAGATGTGACATATCAAATTTCCATTGATCAAAGATGTTGCGGGGGACGCCATACATTTTGTTCATGTTAACAGCTAGTGTATGTTCATAATTTCTAATATGCAGGCCAACCTGGAGACCATTTAATTTACCATTAAATTAAATTAACAATAATTATCAGTGCAAAAACTGAAGATGCATTCTGCGCAATAAAAGTGTTTACTCACCAGAAAGGGACATTTTGTCAGGCTGTGTTTGAGGACTGTCACAGGCTGTATCTGAGGACAGCTGTTTTCTGGGAAGACTGTCTAACACATCTCTTTGGCCTTAATAAATGACACACAATATTTGACTTAAGTCATGTATTATATTTTGCTACAGCAAAACCATATAGCTTCCTACTATAGCGTCATACCATATCTTACTATACTTTTGTTCTTAATATGAAAGTTCCATTATGTACAATTTTAAAAACATACTTGTGGTTTTGAAGTGTGAAAGAACTCTCCTCACTTCCACTGGCTTTAAGACATGAAGAAGGTCACTCTCTTGGATGTAGTTCAAGTCCTCTAGTTCCTGGACTCCTAATTCCTAGAGATATGCAGAGATGTAGTGTGTTTGTGCTTCCTAGATAGGTGGGATGTAAAAGATGTTTTCACTGAAAAAAAGTGTTATCACAGTTTTTGAATGGGCAACGAATCTCCTCTCTTTGTGAAATATGAGATTTCTGGTGAAACAAAAGATCTTTAAGATCAATCAGCTGCTTCTGACAGTTAGGAAGATCACATATAAAGGGTCCCTGCAGAGGTTCACACTGTGACACAGAAGATGACTGCCGATGATGGCGGAAAATATGACACTTAAAAGTATTGTAATTTCTGAAGTGAGACTTGCAACCTGGTATACAACATACAAACTGATAATGTGCCTCGTTTCTGTGTAGCTCTTGATGATGCACATAACCTTTTAGGGTTTTGACAGAAACACCACAACTATGACAGGTGTCTTTGAACATCTTTAACTATAGCACAAGACTCACCATTTGAGCTCACCCCTTAACAACTCACACAACTTATCTGCAGAGAGAAAGATAAGTTTATGTCAGTGCTTGGTACATGTTAATTAAGAAAATCTGCAAATATCCAAGAAAATACACTATATTACCAAAAGTATTCGGTCACCTGCCTTGACTCACATATGAACTTAAGTGCCATCCCATTCCTAACCCATAGGGTTCAATATGATGTCGGTCCACCTTTTGCAGCTATTACAGCTTCAACTCTTCTGGGAAGGCTGTCCACAAGGTTGAGGAGTGTGTTTATAGGAATTTTTGACCATTCTTC